TATCATAATTAAAGGAAAGTTTTTCTACTTATAATTAAGGGTAAAAACGTCTCCAATTACTTTAAATTACAATTTTTTTAATAAATTAATATAATTTATATAACTATTGATAATATTTATATATATTTATATATATTATATTACAAGTATTATAATTTTTTAATTAGTTAAAAATATATTTAATTTTTTTTTCGCAGGTTTGAATAATTTCAACTTATTTTATAATATAACTTCTAGAAAAAATATGTTTTGCTTTAAAACTAAGTAATTATAAATTTTTTTTATTATTTTGTTTTATTTTTAATGCTTTTAGTGTTTCAATTATGCTCAAAAATATGTAAACTGCTTGCTTTTACAGTAAAGTATAAATTATAAAACTACATAACAACACAGCCATTTACATGTCTTTTTCATACAGAGATATACTATAAGTTTTTAAAATGCAAAACACAAATAAATAATATATAACAGCTGTATTTTGTTAGTTCCTTAAATAAGTTAAAGGGGTTTTTATTAAGAAAATAAATAATAAAAATTAAAGAGAAACTATTAATAATTATAAAAAATAAATATTTACAAAGAAAATTTAGTGAAAGCGGAATGTATTTTTTAATGTTTGTAATTAATATTAATAAACAGTTTAAATAAAAAGAAAAATATTATTGATTATTCCTAAAATCTTAACAATTTGAAATCCTATTAATTATTATTTTAAACTATAACAATTATTTTTGTTGCATAGAAAGCAATGAAGAATTAAATTTAATATTAATTGTTTTTTAAATTAGAATTAAATTACTATATTTCTATATTTAAAATTATATTTTATTTAAACCGCAAAAAAGAAAATTAATAAATAAATTTAAAAAAAACAAAATATATTTTATAATATTTTTATAACAAATAATTCGAAAAAAAATTATATTTATATTTATTTGTTAATTACTGACAATGACAAAATAATGGGAGTAACCTTATCCCTTCTGTGATTGGAGTAGACTACCTATATTGCAAAGATGCTGAAAGACAAACAGAAAGTAGAATTTTTACCAGCAACTGACCCAGAAACAAAATAAAGGATCAATCATAAAGATAGACAAAAGGAGTAAATATTAACTTACAAAGAAAGGACGCCGCCAATTAGAAAGAAAAAACAAAAAATGAACAAAAATTAGAGAATATAATAACCTCTTTTCTTCGACAGACTTAGGTGCTACAATAGCTGCCATACCAAGGACATTGATGATGATTTTTTATTTACAACCTATAAGTGAAAGCCTATCAATTATAATCTAATATAGTAAATTAACAGTAGTAGTATATACATACTTATATTGTTGTATTTACAATTCTAGCCCATTTTAATTAATAGTTACTTTTTCATAAGGTATTAACTTAAATATTACTAAAGTAAACTGTTTTATCATATCTAACACCGAAACTTAAGTAAAGACAATAAATACAAAATACGCCGTTGTATATAGAATTTTACTGCATAGAAAGAATTTAGCATTATTGATCGATAGAGTTTTCGACCTATATCTTTGCAGAATCTCTAAGTTACATTCAGTTTCTGCACCACATAGCTGAATAACATATGTCTACAATAATTTCAGAACATATTTATAGAGCAGAACTTTGTTTTCTATAAGTAATTAAAATCTATTTTCAAATAGCCGGCAAAACGATCTGGTTTATTTCAAAAAACTCTATAGTTCAGGTGCAGTTCGAGATATATAACTGATTTTTTATTAAGTGAAGTACTATAGAAGTTCAGTCATTTAGGCCCATCGTAGAAAAGCACAATTTATGCTAGATTCATTGCAAACTCTGAATTTAATTTCAAAGTAAAAATATAGAGAAAATTCCTTACTTTATTATTACTCTCTCCTTATTATGAGAGACCGCTGTCAATGTTGTTATCCCATCGAATCCTATAAAAAAAAGCGTATAAAAGGATGACAAGGTGTATACAAACAAATTAAGGAGTTAGGTAGGATAAGAAATGACGGAATGGTTGTGATCAATTACACCTAGCCTGGGTAAAGGATGGGAAACGTCAAAAGGAAGGATCCATTAATCAATGGGGCTTAGATGGGTGTGTTTTCTGCGACAAGCGATTTATTTATACTTGACGTCTTCATAAACTAGCACTCTAAATTTTGTAACAGTAGGTATACTGAATTTTGGTACGGATTATATTCAAACTCCATTTCCATTTCTTTATTGACTTTCCCATGTCCATTGCTTGATTCTACCATATCACAAATCATATCATTCATTCACGTTCCCCAGCATTTATTTTACTAATCAAGTTTGTTTTCCGAAACTTGTGAGATCACACATAAAGCACGCATACTGATTTATTTTAAAACCGTTACAGGCATACTCTATAAAAAACAGTTTGTTGATAATATAAGTGTAAATTTAAATAAAATATAATTTTCTATTAGGTTTTATCAAAGTTACTATGGCACTCAATTTAATTAATTTAATTAATTAATTTGATAATTAAATTTCGGTTTGCTTCCATTCTTACTTAATTATTTTTTATATGAAATTCTAAAATAAATATATGACTTTTATAAATACAAATAGTATAGCAAATACATATATTTAGTATATTAAAAAAATTTATAACTTATACATAAAAATAAGTATTGACAAACAACATCCATCGATCTTTTATGTATACATCGACACCTATTGCAATGGTGCCAACATCAGTGAGTTCAATATATTAACGTGAGCTAACATTCTTTTACATAGTTTCAGATCTTCTTTGAATATTGTAGTTACAAAACAACGAATTACTCAACATGCATCTTCTTGATATCGTCTTCCTCGTGCAGCAAAAACTGTCCTATCGCAATTCAGATTAAAGTAAATCCATTTACCATAGCACAATAATTTGTTTTGTGCTTCAACTGCACTTCCCATGATGTGTCACCTCTGTTCTTATCTCACATTGTACACACGAACCCTATTGGCCTTTAGCTAAAACTTTTTGAAATGGCAAGGTTTCACCACCTCTATGCATAGTAGATTCAATAGGGTTCCACATACCAATCATCCATTCCTTATTCCAAAAAACCCTTATTATTCTAACTACTTCCTACCTAATTTATATCGCAACCCATGTATTTGTATTTTTAATACCTTTCATGCGTTCTAGTATATAAATTTCCTCGGGCCACAACAGAGTATTAAAACATTTTAGTGAACTGTTTTATAAGTTATTGCTGTCCCGATTTAAATTAACTTCTATACCTCTGTTTGTATTTAAGATCATAATAAAAGTGCTGATAATGTTATGTTTTTTATTAAAGTTAAATAAATTATATTACTAAGCAATGTAATAGGACAGCATTGCGTCAATGACTTAGTCAAAATGACTCTCACAACTTCAGTTTCTTTTTATTTAATAATTAAATTATTGTTTCAAGTGTTAATGCACTACGATGTTCGAACTGATCGGTTATAATCGAATTTGAAGTTTTAGATCTAACACTTTAAATGTTCGAAAATATTTGACCTACAGTTTTTGTTGTAACTCGCTGAGATCTGCTGGTGTAGTCTCTTTTGGGGTTTGGAAGTGTTGAACGGTACTTGGTTTTTGTTGTAACTCACTGAGACTCACTGCTGGTGTAGTCTCTTTTGGGCTTTGGAAGTGTTGAACAGTACTTGGTTGTCGACGTGTATCTCCGGGATGCAGACCCAGCCGCTCTTGGAGCCCTTGAGCTTGAGCTATATGAACAACTTATGCTCCATATTTCATTTTATTTTCTTTTGGATTTATACGAATACGTTTAAAAGCCACATGATGTTCAAGTCTTTTGGAGCTACTCGCTATGCTCGATACAAATGCTCGAAGTTTCAATAATATTGAGAGAAACTCTAATTAAATATATAAATAAATCAAATTCAAAAATAATATTCATACAAAATTATATATTATTCAAGTTATTGTTCTTATTTCAATAGTTCTGAAAATGCTGCAATACTCCAAAATACGAAACATTAAAATTATACTGAATTAGTTACGCATTAGACACATCCAATTCACACACAGAAAAATTTTGGAATATAATCATTAGGCAGTTAAATTGCTTTGGTGGGTTTGCGGTTCGAGCATTCCTCACATATATAAATTTTACTTAATCAATTTGTGACTTTCTACTCAGGAACAATGTACATGTTATAAATAAACTTACATTTTTATAAATATGACATAAATAAACCGAAGCAAATTTTTAATATGATTATAAATCATAAAATATTTATTGCAAATTCATTTAATTATTATTGATATATTTATTGAAAAATCTTTTAAATATTATTGATATATTTATTCCAACACATTTTGAAAGAATATAAATATATATATTAAAAAAATGCTTTATATAATGTATTTAAAGTGATTTACATAACCAACTACACGTAAGTGCATGCGTTAATACGTATATATTAGATTTTCTTTTATATAATTCAGTAAGTTAGTATCAAGACACCTACTACTTTAACATATTAGTATATATGATTTTAAATATTCGAAATATGAATATCTCACATTAATTCAATCATCGCTTAAACAATTATGAACAATACATAAATTATACGCAAGTATGTAAGAAATTAAAAAACAATTAATAAATTAAAATATTAAATTAAGTTTTGAATGGCAGTGATTGCAGCAGCATTTAGAAAATGAAATTTAAAAAATATATTTTTCTTTTAATATTAAAATATAAGTTTTATCTTTTAAGTTTAAACATCAATGACTCATTCATATACAAAGCATTGAGATACGTTTATGTAGTAAAAATAAAGTGAAAAAGGAAAACAATTCATTTTTATGTTGTGTTTGCTGTATTGATGGCTTGTTATTTGTTGAATATTTTACAATTTCAAATGAAAAATTAATTTAAAACTTTATAATTCAAAAAGAAACAATTTAAACGTTTTAAGCCTTAGTATTTTAAAAAAATTCCATATAATAAAATAGACAATAATTTGTAATCTACTTCTGTTTGGTGAAAGCATTTAAATAGATTTTTAGTAAAAGTAAACTTTATGGTAGTTACTACTTAAACATAGTTAGTTTTAAGATGAAGTCCGAGTTGAAGATGTTTTTATTTGGACTCTCATTATCACTTTAAGTTCATAGTTTTTTGATGTTCAGTATTTGTAATATCGCAGCCTCCCGATAATTATTTGCATTGACTGTAAGTAGCATTGGTTTTTAAATTGCTGCTTGTTGAGTAGCTACTTACAGCAGCAGCATCACCTCATTTCTTACCGGGAGGCGCCAAGGGTTGGCCGCGATCTTTACCACGAAGTTTAATACCAATAACCCTTTCAATTTTGCCAAGTATAACATTGTTGGGAATACCACGACCAGCTTCATAATCTGTCACAACCTGTTGTTTTTCACAAATTTTCTAAAATAACAATAAACAAAGATTCAAATATAAAAATTATACTTAGAAAAATAGGTAGAACTTTTTTAACTTACAGTTGCCAAATCCTTTTGACTTAATCCTTTAGACTGGCGACCCTGCATTATCAATTTACCAACATCCAAGGGGATCTTATCATGCTTCAGTTCTTCAGTTTCACGATCCAACTTGGCGGTATTTTTTGTGGTGACATGTTGCTTATTGGTGCCAGCACCATCTGTAATATTTAGAAATATTAAAATTTATTTACTTAAGAGAAGCGTTTATTTTGGTTTAATTGGAACTGTTTATTTAAACTCATAATAAATCAATAAAATAAAATTTATTTTGTCTTCTTGGGTTTTATTATTTTTATATAGTAGTTTGTATTCTTCAATCTATAATTTCATTTCATAAGCTTATTATATTTCTCCAAATTGATTATCGCAACTTATACATCTTCTTAATGCTAAAGTGTTTTTGTGTTCGAACTTATCTGAACGATATTAGAATGAATTAAACGACCTAAATGAATTTAAACTTCTTGAATCTACTATCTTAACTATCTAATCTAATACTTATATAGTATCTATGCACAACAAATTTTAAAACAAATTCAAGTATTTTTACTGAATTACTACTCCTTCATCGAAACTGCCTAAACAGATAACAGCATCGTATTCATAGTTTCACTGATTTTAAGCAAAAGGATAGGTTTTAACTGTAAACAAAGAGAAAGATCTAATTATTGAAAACAAACTCAACGCCACGAAAAGTTGTTGTATTTGACTTACAAAATCTGACTGTAATTCTTAATTAATCTACCAATTTCTTTTAGATGGATACAATAGTATAGTATTTCATATTAAAAAAAAGCTACTGACAACAACAAAAGTGGACTTACAACCCTACTTCATACAGATGCAGTATCCTCTATGAGACCAATGTTCACTCTCAACAAGGTTTTCAACAACTGTCTTAGAGCAATTGAGCCGAGTATTAAACAGTTACTTGTCACGCTTAAACACGTCTATTTCTAATGTGTGCCTCAACTACAGCTCTATCCCCTTAACGTCCATCTAATCGACATGTGGACCTACCCCCTTGAAGTGGCCAGGTATACTTTCGTCTGTAAACGGGTTGATTTCAATTTAAACCCACACATCCACGATCCACCCCTTCTTCCTTATTTCGCTACACCTACCTTCATGTTATCTGCTTTTATGTCTCAGCGGGTCACAACAACGACAACAACAACAACAAAAACTATAACGGTTTTACAATATACTTTGTTGCGGCACTGTCGATTATTTTTACTATAGAAATTCACTATAGAAAATCAACAGTTTTAATATAATTGAAGTCAGTTTTGCTTTACTGCTAGTATAATCTCAGAAATCGTCTTTGTGATTCCATTACTCTCTTACGCTTGCAAAACAGAAGATGCACGATGTTGGATTTTTTTTTCTACATAATCGTTTTTATTATTGTAAAGCATCATACTTTTTTAACCATTTTTTTTTTTGACTATTTCTCAAAAGTAACAGTCCTTGTATGTTATATGATAGAACACCTTAAATTGTGCTATTATCTCAACTAAATGGTATAACGTCCTTTCTGTCTTGAGGGAGATGAAATTTGTCATTATAGTTTGATTTTTGGTTTGATTTTACCTACCAAGCTACTAATCCCTCTTAAATCTTTGTGTCAGGCGTAAAATACTTGGAAATTCTTCGCTCTATTCACAATTATGAACTTCTAAAAACAAAAATATATCCTCCGTTCATCAGATACTTTATGTCATGTTCAGGTAGGAGTTGCAGTATTACAAGACACGAGCCGCAATTTTTAGTTGAATATGAGTGTAAATTCTATTTAAACTTTCAACTCTAATTGAAAATAGGAAAATGAACTCATACGCATAGTTTTAACTATACTTGTCTGTTATATGGAATTACACATAGATTTCTCAGAAACTCTCAGAAAAACTGTTTTAATTGGATTATAACAACATCAACAGGCTAATAATTTAAATCATGTGTATTATACATGATTATAAATAATATCCAATCTCTATATTAAGTTTTGAAATTTAATTTAGAAGAATAAAGCCTGAGGTTGCAAAAATAAGTTCTAATAAAATTTATTCATTTATAAACTAATAATTTGTTAATCTTGATTGTGGAATTCTGTAACTTTATTATTTTAAAATTAAAACAACTGTTCAAAACTTGAATATACTTAACATAAAACAGATTGTTCAGATAGAAGCATGCACATATAATTTTATAAATCGGGTATTTATGACTAAAAATAGGATTTCTTTCTATTGAAACCATATTCTTTTGGTATGATGTAAATCGCATATATATAACTAAAAATGGTATATCTTTCCATTGAAACCATATTTTTCTGAATGAAGAAACAGTTGCAAGCATTAGTTGTTTGTATATAATTTTTTTTTATTTTTTAGTTGTAAATTAAAAACACAAAAACATGAAATACTTCCATAAATTTGTTTGTTCTTTCTTCTAGTTTAAAAATAACACTTTGAAAACTATAAATTTATAAATAGGTTAATTATTTATAAGGTATCACATATGACGTAAAAAACCGTATAAAAACGTAATACGTGTGTTATTTTAGTAACGTTTCAATAGTATTTGTTAACAGCATTAATAAAAACTAATATTGCGAAATTTATAATTGATAAGAAGCAGATATGCAACAAATATTATGTATAAACGTAACCATAAAGTGCAACAATGCATAGATACACCCCCACTCAATTAAAACTGTAGGAGGCATACTTAAATTCGTTGCATTAGTCTACCCCTCTATTACCATAAACACAACAGAAACACATTTTTAATAATTATTAATTTAATGCAAAACAAATGTTACTTACATTTTTGCTGAGTTTCGATGGCAACTCCCTGACGACGTGCCGAGTTGACAGCAGACTCTGACTTTAATGTGGAGGACTTGGGTGCTTTTTTGCGGAGAACAGTTACTGTATCCCAATCAGACATCCTTTATAATTTATAATTAGTTATCACCAAACGATTTAATTTATACAATTGACAAATAAAAATTGTCTTTTTAAGTAGATTACATATGTACCCAAACGCTGTAAAACAAATTTTATTTTAAAAATTTTTTTAATATATTTATAAATGACAACTAAAAATTTCTTACATGCTTAAAATTAATATAATTTATTTTTATTTTACACAGGTAAAAATATGTTTTTAAGTTCCAGAAGTGTCTAAACGAATGATAGACTACTTCGTGCTAGTTTTTTACTGAATATTTCTAGACAATTAACTTAGTTGCAGTTTTATACCGAAACGTCAAAAATTTTATCTGTTTGACAGCGTGCGTGTGTTCGTATAATCAAAATAATATCGATAACTTTTGTTATGAAATTGTGATGAAATTATTTTGTCTCATATTAAGGGTTTTTATATATGTATGTATATATTTTTTTGTTAAGTAGTAAAATACACAAAATCAGTTTTTATTTTATGTTTAAAGTAAAATAAACATTAAATTTATGACTTTTAAGTATAGAAAGTAATTATAAAATTAAAAATAAATTTACTTTATGTCAAACAAAATAACTTGCAAAAGTACGATCAGCGTGACACTAGACTTCATACATGCAAACAATGTCAGTTTATACATGAAGTTATATTTACAGTTTTTCTTCTACCCACTAATTGAATAGTAAATTTAAGGATGTTCATATTTTACATATTTATATAAAACAATGTATATTAAATACAATGTTATGTATATAACAATATATATATTCACAAGTAAAATCGGGACATAGAGGAACATATATAAAAAAAATGTGTCCATAATCATGAAAAATCAAAAAATAAAATTGAAATCGATAAACTTAATCTCCCAAAAAATTCACATTTTCGATATTCTTGACAAACATACTTAATTGCTTAAAGCGTGATATAAACGATACTAAATGTATGCAAACCGAGTATGTCATGCTACCAAATCGTACTGGGTATATTCAAGTATGCTTACCAAATTTCAGTCTGCAGATTTGTATGCGGTAAAATTACATGTTATTTTAAAGTGTATAGCAACGCGTTAAACCCATTAAACATTTAAAAAATGAAACTCAAGTGTTAAAAACTTGAAAAATTTAAAAACACATTTTATTATGAATATAATCTTTCAAAAAATTTGCAAAATTACAACTCCTTTCTCTAAATAATTATTAAAAATAAGAAAATGTTTTATTGGTTCGCATCAAATTCGCGAATTGAGAATAAATATTTTAAAAATAGAAAAATTAATTTAATTCAAAATACAATTGAATAACGTTTTATCGAACTTATCGAATAACCATTCATAGAGTTGTATATTATTCGAACTGTGAGCATAGGTATGTCTGATTCATATGATGTTATTGCCACTGTTGTAATAACTACTATTATTATTCACATTTTATTTTTATTTATTTTATATTTATTTTATTCCGTCACACACCTGATATTCAATTACTTATCGATAACAAATTGTATGAAGAAAATTCAAAATATTTTGATACTATGTCAATCATTTCATGCACAGTCTGTGCTTATGATCTCAAACGTGTTTGATTAAACATGCAAAATGCATTGTCATGCAAATTGACTCTCTATAGTAGTGATTACTGACTGCATATGTGATTAAATTCAAATGGTGTTCATATATTAATTTAAATAATATTAATATTGTGTACAAAACTCTTACTAAATAAATTTATTAAAAATTTACTCAGTTTAAATGTTTGTTTTAAATAGATTTTAACATTTCTCTTCCAATTCTTTTAAGATCGTAAAAAAGCTACGATATTGTACAGAGTTGCATAGAAAAATAATCACCATTTCTAAGGAAATTAAAAATTAATCTCGACCAAAAGGAGATTTACTTTTGTATGAAAAATCTGAGATTAAACAATGAGATTAGTACTTTAATCTCGATTATTGATTTCATCTACTTTTAATTTCACAATGTAAAGGTCGTATTAACATACATATACATGAATTGTATTTCTCTGAGTTAGTTTTATAGGACTTAAAACGTTTTTATACCCACACATGTATGGATATTATGTTCAGTATAATAGCATGCGATTTCTATTACCGTGAGTTTAGTTTAAAATTTTGAGAAGGTAATATACTGAAGTAAGATTATTAAATTCACTATACTCGTAAAATAAATTAATTGATCATTATATTACTTCTTAAGCAATATAATTCGAATTAAATACAGTTCAAATTATGTACTATTCTTTTAAAGAATTCATTTAGCACAAAATTTAAATTTTTATATCTGCTAAATTAGTTTTTCTATTAAACATTTCCAATTAGATGGCTCCACTGGTATTCATTTACGAATTCGTATGAAGAAGAAACAATAACAAAAAATAAACGGTAGAAGACGTTTGCGCTCTACATCGTTTCATTTTCAAATTGTTTCACAATTGGAAGAAATTAACTAGTTGAAAAAGACGAGCGTATCAGAATGGACGGCAGTTTTTACATCGCACTGTAATAAATTGTAAAAATTGGAAAATTTATACAACTAGATTAAAAATTAAATAAAACAAATGTAATAATATAGCAAAGTGATAAAAACTTTATAATTTTGTCGTAATAATTCAACGAATAAAATAATTACTGTCTGAATACTTTGCAGACAGTTAAGTGATGTGAAAAGGATGGAAAAAGAATAACAAATTATTTACCAGTTCGACTGAGTAATTATCAAGCTTAGATTAAAACCAAAAAAAAATAAATAAATAAAATAAATATGCTACGAAAAATTAATAAATAAATAAATAAATAACAAAGCAAAAATATTTTGTTTGCCTAGCGGCGTTTTTAAATAGGAAGAGGTGCGCACTTGAGCGCAGACAAAGTGCATTTTAGGGCGTGTTAAGCCTTTCGATACTACTGCTTTCCTTCATGCACATACCTTAAGGAATAATAGAAAGATTTGCAAATTTTGTAAGCTTTTGCTTCAAGTAAATATAATTCTTATTTATTTAAATAAGAATAAAATTTCTAATAAGCCATAAAGAAGCAGTTATAAAATAAAAGCAAATAAGAAAAAAGTTACAAATTAATTGCAACTTCCTTTTTGTGGCATTTTTGTGTCTACTACAAGTGTGAAACAAAGTCGAAAAGGAAAAACGCAAAAGCGTAGTAAAGGAGTGTGCAAAGCAAAATGTGTATAAATTTTATTTAATAAGATAAATTTTTAATATAAGTAATAATAAATATTTGCAAATTTAAATTTGTTCACAAAACGCCGGCTTCTGATAATATCAGTAAGAAACAATAATCTAAAGCAGTTGTCTTCACCGCTATTGAGATTTTGTGACTTAAGTAGTGTCAAAATCCACCCCCACCCACTACAAAAGAAGTCAGTCGTCTGTGTGTCTAACAGCTTTGGTAGCTGATTGTGCTGCTGGACTAGTGCACACAATGGGCGCTCAGCAAGGAAAAGAACGCGGTTCACATTCAAGTGGGGGTCACGGCGGTACCGCTAGCTGCATTGGTGTCTCCAGCAGCAGTCCAGTTGGTACACATGGCATTAGTGTGGGAAGTGTAAATGCTTTGGGCGCTGGTTCAACATTACGTGGATCACGTATCAAATCATCGGGTGCCCCTGTTGCTGTTGGTGGCAGCTCCCATCGTTCTGGTGTTTCATCATCCGGCGTCAGTGGCGTACACTCCGCAAAGGATAATCGCTGTAATGCCATCGGAATGAATATATTTACAGAACACAATGGTGAGTGCCATAATTATATACCTACATACATATGTATGTAGAATTAGTAATAGTGTAATGCTCCTGTCCTTACAAAAGTCGTGGGTGCAAATGCAAATGGGGGTGGGTGATTTGCAGTTGTATTGAGGGTTGTTTAGTACATATTTAGTGTTTTGTTAAATTTTATTTCTTAATTTCTTATTATTGTCCTTACCTTAGTTTTGTATTTTTCAACAAACGCTGCTTTCAAAACATTTTTATTCTTTTCTGGTACGGAAGCCAAGCACACAAAACAGGACAACAAAAATACAGTTTTTAAAATAATTTTTTTAATGAGAAGAAAATATAACTATTTTGTATTATAAAATAATGTATAGCACACTTTGATTCAATTTTTAATTTCATTGATTGAAAGTTATAACATTTAGTTATAATATGATATTTGGGCAGTGTGCGAGTTCGAGTAAATTGATAGTAAATTGAGGGAAATAGTAAATTATGTCGGTATGGCAGCGAATGTTGGTATTTACCAGAACTTTGGTAAGTCCCCCCGCCCTCCGTCCATCATTATCCACCTAACTTTCATTCTATTTCCCTATTCATGTAACCGTCTTGTGTTTCCTTTTATGTTTATCTGCTTAAAGGTCCCGGCGGGTTACAATAACAACAGCATTTACCAGAACTTCGAGTAGGGTAAATTAGATAAATTAGGTGTTACCATTGTGAACATTTTATAAGATGTTTAATAAATAAATTTGAATACTTTTAACCAAAATACAATAAATAAGTGCAATAAATAAATAAATAAATAAAGATTAACATGAGTGCAGTGCAAAAAATTCCTACGAAATTTCAATTTACTTTACCTCAATTTACTCGAATTTGCCACGGCCTTGGTAGTTGTTTTTTGATATATGAATTATTCAGTAACTTTGAACATTCAACCTATCCGGATAATCGCCTTGAATTTGTATGCCCTCTACTAAAAGTCGTCCGGCTATGATCAGAAAAGAACTGAAAATAAGCAAAATAAAAAGAAAAAACTGTCAATAATTAGCTGTCACTCTGCGACAGTGACTGTATCTATTCTGTGATCTCCCTTACTCAAATGTCCTCTGAGATCATTAGCATAAGCATTTGGTGAATTTTTTGTATATTTACTTAAGTTTCTTGGAACAGACCCCTATAAAGTACGGTATTATAATAAGTATATTTTCAGTGATTTCACTTAAAACTGCATTATAGATCCTTTACATTAACTTTAATAGAGAAAAAGTATGTGTGATTCTAAAATATTATTGATCGTCAATAAATTCGTTTATATAATTTTCAAACTTCTAACATCAGTAGCTAATGCTAAATGCGCAGTATTTAACACTGTTTTATTTTTTTTTGCAATTGTCTTATAACCTTTTGCTTTTATTATAATGATTGTATTTTGTATTTATTCATGTATAGCACTTTTTAATGAACAAAGTAATAGAGAAATTATAAATTTCTTAATAACTAATTAACGAATGATTTCTTCATAATTACTAAACTCTCAGTAATCTTTACAAATTTTATTAAAAGAAATTAATTATTTAAAATATTTAAATTTTCTCTTTAACACTTGCAACAGTAATAAAAACTAAACAAACTCATCTGCCATCTGCCTGGAATTTTCCATTTTCTTCCAAAAATTATTCACAATAGATCAGTTTTAACATGTGGCACCACTGTAATGCGTGTGTCTTATTCGTTAAGCACTTTCAGAAAAATGTGGATTATTTTTGCAAATTTTGTTTTTGCCTTGCATGTTAATTTTTAAGCGACACGTGTTTTATTGGAGTATTCATGTCAAAAAAATACTCCCAGTATAGTAAATTGCGAAATAAAAAACAACTTGCTACCAATTAAGTAAACCATATGAGAATTATAATTTATTTTATTTTTTAACTATATAACAAACAGAAATTCAAATATCAGAATAATTATAGCATTCTGTTATTTTTAGTATCGAACTATTGAATACAAAGCAGATATGTAGATATTTTGAACTTTGCTCATATCTAGATATTAGAAAAATTTGAATTACTGAATATAAATAGTACTAAATATTTTATTTTAAGAGATATGAATTTCAAGATTGATATGAAAATATATATAAACACTTTTCCAATAGATATCCATTCCCAAATTTCTCTTCTTCTATTTTTGAAATATTTCTTAAAAACGGTTTTTAGTAAAAAAAATTTATTCATCCTTTTTAACCTTTAAATGTCTAGAGAAAAAGGATTGTTGATTTGAGCTTAACCATTTCAAATCAACTTATAACTGTCAAAAAACAAAATTCAATTCACACAGTGTTATTATTTTCAAGGTTGTTAAGGGACTTCAGATTAATTTATACCCTGTTGATTCCATTTGAAGGCTTAAAAGTGTTATTTTGAGAGCGCTTAATTAAGCCACTGCTATTTGCGATATTTCAAATCGTTCTATTTGTATTGTATTGAACAGTTCTAAACAGTTCTTATTTAGGTTTTAATGCGACGTCAGGTGATTGTAGTTTCCATTCAAAAACTTTTAGCTTGGTTTTTACAGCGTAACCGAGCTATGGTTTTGTAGTGATTTGATTTAGATCTACATTTGACAAGCTGCATAAATCCATATTCTGGACATGATATTTTAAAAATCCATTCAAAGCACTTATTGAATGGGAACATAAATGTAGAGCATGGATCGTTAAAGTACATATCCAAGTTTCATGCCTTACAATAACTCTGATTTCGCATTCAAATTGTTTATGTGTAGAGTATAAAAATAATAATATTTATTACTAAGTTGTTAAATGGAATTTTTACAAGTTTTACTATAGCGCTTTGGATTATTAGATCAATTATGTGTTGTCAGTCAGAACAACTCTTACACGGATAAAAATCAAATAATTTTAAAAGCTGTCATTTTTGATTAAACTTCACAATAATAAAAACAACTTTTAATTAAGTAAATTTAATTCTTCATCATTGATTAAATTCTGTGCTCAAATTAATAATGTGGCTCAAGAGTTCCCTTATTGTGGGAGATTGACTCGATACGACTGGAAAGAACTTAATATGTTTACTTTACGAGTGCGTTGATTGTATGGAAGCGTAAGTCAGCAGCAGCGCGCACTCCCAAACAAAATGACATTTATATGCCGGCATAAAACTGTTTACTTGCCGCTTTTCTGTTTTCTGTTTCTACTGCTCTTGATACAATTGCTGCCCCAGGAATATCTACAAGATATTTCAACGTTTCATATATATTTGCCTTAAATATTTGAATACATTCTGTACGCATTTGACTTCATTTTACTTGATTGTATTGTGTGTATACTTTGATGTGTGGGCGTTTTGGGTTTGGGGTGCGTTCGTTGAAAATTATATTTAAATTTTTACACTCCACATTATACTTACTATTGATGAGGGTATAAAATTATATAAAATGTTGTCGTCGACCGAGGGTTGAAATTATTACTCCATATACATATGAATTCGAACACGAACCACCGGAAGGCATTTTACGCATTTACGCATTTTTGTGTCGCATTCAAAAATTTATTGCATTGGCTATATCAACAACATCGTCATCGTCATCGCCATCGCCATCTTCATCTTCATCTTCATCTCCATCAAAATCAACAGCAATCTCATACATCATATCATATGTAGTCGAAATGTAAACTGCCACTTCATGTTGCAGGCTGTGCTGTGCCTCTATGTTACTGATTGTTTCTAATTGGCTTTAATGATGGTGCGTAAATAAGCTTCAAGATGCTTAATTTTATGTACCCGTAAATAAAATGGGTTTATTCGCACTAAACATGCTGTTGTTCGGAATCGTCCTACCGCAAGCTAATTTCTAGTTTTTCTACACCAGCAATTAAACTTAAATATAGATTAAATATTTTTTGTAAGATTTTGCGTTGGCGTTGGTGATGCCAGAATTAATTCATTGCCTTCCACTTCATAGTGGAAGGCACTTAATAACGCAGACTAATTTCATTTTTAATCTGTAAAACACTTAGTTTTGATTTAAAATTTCTGCTGCCCTGTTCTGTTCCCTCATGGAAATGGATGAATGAATAATTGAATGACAGTGTACGTACTAGCGCGCTACTGGGACACTTGGTAATTGTCATTGGTTTGTGTGCGTGACCAGTCGTCATCAGTGCAAAGCAGGCATACTATTACCGCTGGACCTTGAGCGCAATTTATTTCTAATTTATTCGCACTAAAATATTTTTTGGGTTCAACTCGTATTTTGTATTTTCGTTATGGGACGCTCCTTTGTGTTTTGTGGCTTCTCCATAAATTAGTAAAAACTGTATTTATTTATTTTTTTTATAGATTTTATTTTGTTAAATTTGTTTTTTTTTTTTTATTATTTTTCTCTGACTTTTGAATTCAGGCAAAAGAGACTTTCATATATACATATATACTTTTTATAGTTTTTTATATAAATGCGGTTTTTTAATTCTTTTTAATTTTCATTTGAATTATTTGTTTTTAGTTGTAATTATCTTATCTTGTTTTTAATTATATTTTTACTATTTTATATTGTTTTTAGTTTAATTGTAATATTATTTGCGTTCACTTTATTTTTATTTAAGTTTTATTTTATTAAGTTTCAGTTTCAGTTTACCTCGAAATCTTCTGCTGTATATATATAAATAATATATATATACCAAATGTTGCAAAATGGAAAGATATTTATTCTAATGAAATGTATGCTACTGTCAACTCCCTCTTAAATTATCTCAAGTTACATCAATTTGAAGTATTATTGTACAAACCATTTGCGATATACTTAATTACAAATGATAACGCTGTCGATACACTATATCTAAAAAATCGAACATATTTATTGCTTTTGATATATTACGAATCGTTCCATAATCTTTTTGAATATTGAAAGTGTTTACTGTACTTGGTTGTACTTGGTACTTGGATCCCAAAAGCAACCTTCTTCATACGTGTTATGCCTTTTTCGATTGGTTCACTTTTTCAATCGAGATTCAGTTTTAGTATAATTTTTATTCTCTATTGCTAACTCTCGATCGAAATGTATAAATAACACTTGAAGTAATTTGTAACACTTGCTATTTTGCCAGCGTAGCAAGATCTTCCTAAATTAACAGCTGTTTTATTAACTTGCAAAAGAAAGTGTGATTAAAAAAAATAAAAATAAAAAAGTATAACGTTGCGTTCCCATTGGCTTTATGTTAAATAAAAGGTGAAAATATATTTAATTTCATTAAAATTAAGTTTTACTTACTTAATGTAGTCCTCGTCTCCTCG